GACGAATGATTCTTCAATTTGTGTGTGTTCAACGATCGGTTCCTCGACTGTACCTTGATCGAGCATCGGTGCCTCAACCATATCTTCAAGCATTGGTTTTTCAACTTTAGCTTTCTTGAGTATTGGTTCTTCGATTGTACTTTCTTTGATCATCGGTTCCTTTACTGTTGCTTTTTTGATCATAAATTCTTCAAGTGCCGATTCTTGAGTACATGAGACATTCTACAAAGAATAATGACAATCATATCTTACTATGACTTAGTTTACACCAATTGTTTAGTACACGAACCAAGCACTAAATCTGTTTCTTTGTTTAGTGTAGATTTTATACTAAACGATTTAACCAATCGAAGAAGCAGATATAGTACTTGGACGCGTACTAAATGATCGGTGTAAACTAAGCCTATAACATTAAGAATATTCAATAATAAAACAGATGAATTATATACACAATACATTTTTTGTACAGACGCGTAGAAAATATTCTGCAATGTGCATGTTTTCATCCTATATTCAACTTACCTTTTTGTTTTCTTCCTCGCACTCTGTAACCATTACTTTTGTACCTTCCAGTTCACCGATTTCTTTCGGAAAAATATAGTGCAATCTATGAGATACAGGTATTTCGGAGCTTGATTTAGACTGCCTGTTCCGTCGTTTCAGAGCATTAGGATCATACTGTAAAAATGCTATTTTTATACTTTGTAAGTTGCATAATTGAAAATGGTAAATTTCAAATCGAGACTGACATTTACACTACTCGATATCTGCCCATCCCATGAATTGTTAGGTTTCAAGTAAATTTTTTCTTAAATGGAACCAAGACTTATGTGTCTAAAGTCTACTCACCTCACAGACCCTGGCGCTATTTTATACAACTTACCGAAAAGACTGAAGGACACGCTGAAATTTTCAACATACGGCCACTTGCTGTAACAAGGTAGTCGCTATTGAGAAAATGTTTTGAACACAAAACAGATTGTTTTTTCTGTTTTAATCTTCCACGTTCGCAGTTATGCATTTCCAAAAACGCATATATTTTATTAATCCACAGTTGGGATCGATTCGGGTCTCTTACTGGAAATCTATACAGACATGAAAAATATGTAAACAATAAAAAATGTCACTTCAACTTTAATAACAATTTTCATCCTACATTGTTAACACATTTGCAGGAACTAATATATTTAACAAAAATCCTTACCTATGAAATGAAATCTCCTTTTCACTCTCCTGTCCACATCCAGGCACACAGCACCTCATGTCACAAATTTGCAGATTTTCCAATCACGGTTCCAAAATAATAAAATAAATAAAATAACCTTAACATTTGCGTCGTGCGCTATGATCAGTCTGGTCAGTCCTGTTTCATGACGTGCGACGCTAAATGCATGTGTACTAGTGAAAGCTTCTGATTCGCTCAAATACCACAGCAAGACAAAATGGCGCTGATTAATTGAAACTACGAATTTTCCTTGATGCGCCTTCCAGTGTATATATAGTTCAGTGCCATCAAGCTGTTTCTAGCTCCCTCCTTACTTCATCGTCCCTCGCCCTCAACCGGTTTTACTGAGGTAACCTTCTCTCTATAGATTTTGGTTCATTCCAGTATATGTATAGAGCTATTATGTATAGAGCACTGCTGTTAGGGTAGTAATACTAGATACTTCTGAAGTCTCTAAGTAAATTTTTACACAGCATTGAACTCACTGAATTATATATATACAATATATATACAGGGTGGGACATTTTAATCGCCTCAGGCGGATATCTCGGAAACTAAGAGAAATAAAAAAAAAAGTTTTATATAAAAGTTGTAAGGTTTAAAAAGCTCTATTTACTGATCTTATATATATATATATATATATAAGAGAGAAAGAGAATGAGGCAACGCGCTCGACGCACTTCTTTCTCTCTCACTCTACCGTAACTTTCAAGCCTTATAACTCGAAAAGTGCTTAACGGAAAAATACTTAATTACAGTGTTTTGAAAATATCTCGACTTCAGCTACAAGAATATATAATAAAAAATGGGGGTTCTCATTTGAAAAATTCGACTTGGACACCATAGGGCCCAACATGGGGCCTGGGGAAAATCGAATTCGCTTATCTGATAGATCTATTAAAACCCTAAAACTTTCCCATTTACTGTTTTCAGCGAAAGTGCTTCCCTGATGAGATATTCGACTGTTTCCATACTTTTAAGACACCTTGTATATATATGTATATACAGTATATATATATATATATACAGCGTGTTCCTCGAATCGGTCACCATGGTTTTTGAGATACTTCCGGTGGATTGAGAATAAAAGGTTTCTAACAAAAGTTCGTTGGTTTCTAATAAAGAATTATTTATATACTACAAGAATATGGACCCATACAGCACAGAACATTGCAATTACATTGCAGCAATGTTACAATCTTGCAAGTTGCAATGTAATATTGTTGAGACATTATTGCAACCTGTAATTGTAATATTTCATGAGAATGTGACAGCAACATTCCAACAACATTGCAATAGCAATATTCGGTAATCACTAGTTCGTTCGTTTACCACTATACGACGCGCGTTGCAAAATCTATCTCGTATTTAAGTTTTAGTCATGATGATTATATGAAACTTGCAAAGAGTGGCTAGTAAGATTAAAGACATAGTAATTATTTTTATCAGTTTAATTTTTCTAATACGACCTCAACACAGGGAGTTCAGATATTGAACTGATTGTTCAAAAATCAAACAGATAAATGTCCGAATAAATAAAAATATATGCAACATTATTCTAAGATTGCAATAACAATGCATTATTGTAAATTCATTACATTGTAATATTATTGTAATATTTCGTTACAATCTTCCTAAAAGCGGACATTTTAACGTTGCTGCAATCCCACAGCAATGATGCAACAACATTTTGCAGTGAATTTGCAATATTGCAACATTGCGATGAAAGATTGATGCAATGTGTATGCAATCTTTGTGTGCTGTATGGGGAAAGAAAAT